TTTTGCAAACTTTTCTATTTGTTTATCCTAATTTATGCCATCTGCCAACTTTTACTTCTTGGCAAATTTTTCTGAATGATCAATTTTAGGGATCGAAAGCTGCTGACGCATTCGAGCGTCGTCAGCGTAAGCTTACCAGAACAATGAATATTTCATGTGTGATAACACTAATCTTCTACGTAACACCAATGTGTGCACGCTTTTTTGCCGGTGGCACAATTGATACGACAACGAACGACTTCGTGACATTGTTTTCGGGAATAAGCTGCAATTTTAATCCACTAGCAATCCTTGCAGCTCTGTTCGTTATGCAGGAAGATGTGAAAAGAGCTGTTCTGAGCAGTTTACCGCACTGCTTGCGTCGGCTTATCCCAAGTGCCGCACCGGACAAAACGTTTGGTGGCAATCTCTCGATAACAGTTAATCCCACAGCTCAACAAGAAAACACCACGACCGCAGTTTTTTGGCGTAGGCTGCAGTGGAGTGCTAAAACCATATCGGCCCGACAGCCTGACACCGCAGCGAATGTGTCTCCGCGAAAGCGCCGATCATTTCCATCGATTTGGCAGCACCGAGCTGCGAAATGATAGACAGTGATAACTACTCTTTTTTGGCTGGGATGGGAGGGGGTTGTGGCATTTCTAGGGGCTTTTCCAGTAAACTAGCTGTAAAATCTTATACTCACAACAGATATTATTAAAATTAGTTCATTTTCATGGTTTATCAGCAGCCCCACCCCCATAAACCAAAGACCTCTGCTAGTTCCTGTAAAGGTTGCCTAGAACTGGCAGACTGCAGACAGTAATGGTATTGGCACCTTGCACTGTTTCAGCGCTAGTGTTTTTGCCACTAAAGATATGGAGCCTCGGGCGGTTTGCGAGTATTCATAGCCATAAATAATCTGGTTTGAGACCAATAGATTCAGGATGAGAAATTCAACTCCATGTTCTCCTTAATCGAACACCCTATCTTCTTCTTTCATCACTTCTCTCCTTTCTCCGCTTTTCGAGTTTTCCTGATCTGGTTTTAAGGATTTTATTGTATACTCTTTCAGTATATGACGGATATACTGATAATTACCGCTCCTGCCAACACGTATGAAACAATCTGTGCTACGGTTAAGAGCTGAAACAAGAACTGATCTGTGATAATCGGTGCTTAGATCCAACATCACGGTATTAAGATAAAATAAAATGCTATCAAATTGCATTCCACTAACAACACTTGCACGAAATATCCTCACCGACCGCACTGACGCTCTTGCTATCCTTTGTAATTGCAAATATTCGGGTATTTACTAAAACTCGGCTCGGCTTGCCCTCGGCTACCTCGGCCGGACCTCGGCCGCACCTCGGCCGGCCGCTGGCAACGGCATTGTCGTGAAGCATAGAGTGGGAGAGCGGGACTGTGAGGTGAGGGGACAGGCAGGGGAAGGGGGGAAGAGGCGAACGGGGAGGACGTTGGCAGGGGGGAGGGGGAGAGGTAAGGGCAGTGAGGACGGATGGGAAATACGGGAATGGGGCGAGCCGGGAAGAGAGGGGGG